TGTTAAGGTGTTCTCGTGTTTTAGTGCATTGTTTAGTGTTGCCTATGGTGTTCTGGGTGGTTGCCATGGCATTGCTAAACAGTTGTTAAGGTGTTCTCGTGTTTTAGTGCATTGTTTAGTGTTGCCTATGGTGTTCTGGGTGGTTGCCATGGCATTGCTAAACAGTTGTTAAGGTGTTCTCGTGTTTTAGTGCATTGTTTAGTGTTGCCTATGGTGTTCTGGGTGGTTGCCATGGCATTGCTAAACAGTTGTTAAGCTGTTCTCGTGTTTTAGTGCATTGTTTGTTCACCCAGAACACCATAGGCAACACTAAACAATGCACTAAAACACGAGAACACCTTAACAAGTGTTTAGCAATGCCATGGCAACCACCCAGAACTCCATAGGCAACACTAAACAATGCTCTAAAACACGAGAACACCTTAACAAGTGTTTAGCAATGCCATGGCAACCACCCAGAACTCCATAGGCAACACTAAACAATGCTCTAAAACACGAGAACACCTTAACAAGTGTTTAGCAATGCCATGGCTACCACCCAGAACACCATAGGAAACACTAAACAATGCACTAAAACACGAGAACACCTTGGCAACTTCTTTGCAATTGTTTCATTGTTATACTGTCAGTAATTTGTCTTTTTATGCATGCGCCACATATAAACTTTGTTTATAAGTGCAATATGTTTGAAGAAAAGTGAATGTTAATTTAGCTGTTTCAAGTTAAATTATTTTTCAAGTGTTATCAGATATTTTCTAGTCACTGATTGACGGATGCTGTTTACATGTCTTAAAATTGTAGATTATATTCTGTAGGTAACACGCTATCTGCTAAATATTACAAATATGAACAGTTTCTTAGGTTCAATGGAAATGACTAACTTTTTCATAATGTATAATGTTTAAAGATGTTAAAAAATAATTATATCCAAAACACAGGCTAAAGTTTAAGTGTATTTTTTTCCGGATTCCCCATAACTCTGTTGTCTTTGACTCAGATTTGCGATTCACAAAACAAATCAAATGAAGCTGTTTGAACCAATTTCAAAATGTGGTGAAAGTAAAAGTAAAAGTCAACAGAGCCTATGGTGTTCTGGGTGGTTGCCATGGCATTGCTAAACAGTTGTTAAGCTGTTCTCGTGTTTTAGTGCATTGTTTAGTGTTTCCTGTGGTGTTCTGGGTGGTTGCCATGGCATTGCTAAACAGTTGTTAAGGTGTTCTCGTGTTTTAGTGCATTGTTTAGTGTTTCCTATGGTGTTCTGGGTGGTTGCCATGGCATTGCTAAACAGTTGTTAAGGTGTTCTCGTGTTTTAGTGCATTGTTTAGTGTTTCCTGTTGTGTTCTGGGTGGTTGCCATGGCATTGCTAAACAGTTGTTAAGGTGTTCTCGTGTTTTAGTGCATTGTTTAGTGTTTCCTGTGGTGTTCTGGGTGGTTGCCATGGCATTGCTAAACAGTTGTTAAGGTGTTCTCGTGTTTTAGTGCATTGTTTAATGTTTCCTATGGTGTTCTGGGTGGTTGCCATGGCATTGCTAAACAGTTGTTAAGCTGTTCTCGTGTTTTAGTGCATTGTTTAGTGTTTCCTGTGGTGTTCTGGGTGGTTGCCATGGCATTGCTAAACAGTTGTTAAGGTGTTCTCGTGTTTTAGTGCATTGTTTAATGTTTCCTATGGTGTTCTGGGTGGTTGCCATGGCATTGCTAAACAGCTGTTAAGGTGTTCTCGTGTTTTAGTGCATTGTTAAGTGTTTCCTATGGTGTTCTGGGTGGTTGCCATGGCATTGCTAAACAGTTGTTAAGGTGTTCTCGTGTTTTAGTGCATTGTTTAGTGTTTCCTGTTGTTTTCTGGGTGGTTGCCATGGCATTGCTAAACAGTTGTTAAGGTGTTCTCGTGTTTTAGTGCATTGTTTAATGTTTCCTATGGTGTCCTGGGTGGTTGCCATGGCATTGCTAAACAGTTGTTAAGGTGTTCTCAGTGTTTTTAGTTCATTGTTATGTGGTTGCATTCATGTGATGAGTCACATATTGGAGTTTAACACTTATGGTCAGGCATTTGTTCAGATCACTAACCTCAGCTGTCTGGAGTAGTAATAGTGTTGCGTTCCTTATCATGCACCTATAATAATAAATCCAGCAGCTGCTGTGCAAACTGGGAAAACATGCGTCGCTCTGGACTTTACATATAAAATGAGGCAGAGGCATGCTACCATATTTTATTCGCTTACTGAATCAGTTGGAGAGATATTCTGGATATCCTAACATAGACTCCAGCATCCGTCAATCATCCATGTTGCCATGGCTACTGTATAATCAGCTGCGCCATTATTTATGTCATTCACTTGTATCTTTGATACTTAGTACATTTAATATCATTTATTACATTTAGCCAATTATTTTTCTCATGGGCTACTTTAAATATATTCCCATAACTGTATCATTACTTTTACTATGATGCATGTGAATTTGACTAATTACTAATTAATCCTCTATTATACACACCTTTTTACACATTTACATCATACATTACATATTTACATAATCGCTTAAAATTTTCTTAATATTGATATTTTAATGATCAAATTATATAATAAAGAGAATTCTTCAACCAAATATTCAGTTTTCTGAATATGACACATTTAAAGTTATTAAATATAACTTTGAATGGCACTTTATTACATCAAAATTATAAACAATATATTCTTTCTACTTTTTACTTTGCTTTATTATTTCTTTAATTGATGTATTTTAAATTGTGGCTGGAACAAAACCATGCTATGACAAATTCACCATAAAAAGCAATGAAAAGTGCAAACAGTGTATTCAAAATTTCATAAATTAATGTTGACTTGTTTGTTAAAATTTTTTATAAAATAAAAAAATAACTGTCTTTCACTAACAGAATGAGATCACAAATGAAGTGCAAGAAGTTGGAAAAATGGGGCAAATCTGATACTGACATCTAGTGGTGAAATATCAATAATTTTATTTAGATATTCTCATACACTGATTTCAGCCATTAATATTTGATAAACATAATCCAACATTTTCAAGCAAAACAATGGCCTCTTAATATAATACTACATTAGTTGTTTAATAATATGTAGTCTACCTACATTTATAGTAATGTTTGTTTTATATACTATATATTTATTAGAAATTATATTTAAATATGTATTATATATATATATAAATCATAGTTATTACACACTTTAACATGTTAACACACAATATATTATTGATAAATATTACTAAAATGTAGTCTGTTCAAACACTTGAATAGGCAAAGTCACATTAAACTACAGTTAGCCACATATTTTATTTACACAACACTCATCCACTATAGATTTATATTCATATTTGATATGCATTACGCATTTACATGCATTAACATGTTTGGGTGCCCAAAGCTCAGGCAAATGTCTTCAGCAAATGTTATTCATCATGAGCGCCTCATGTTTTTCTGGGAATAAATATTTGGGGCAGGGGTTCCCGCAATCACTCTCACCCCACATGTGTAAAATCTGCAGGCAAAATAACCTACAGTGTGTGCCGCTGTAAATGTCTGCCATATAAGCATTTATGGTCTGACTGATAGTATAGCCCGTGTTCAGACTTAAACCAGTTTACAAATTCCATTATGCTAAGCCCGAGCACTCTCACCGCTGATGAATGATTATAAAAATACATAATCTCCAGAGGTACCATCATTGCACTACAACAGGGAAATTTCATTCATTCTATCCAATTTTTCCCTTATTTAAAAAAGAAATTACTGGCCCCCAGTAATCAGATATACAGGCGGGCTGTTTCTGGAGTTAAGCCCAACTTCTATTAGGATTTCGACTTCTCTCATTTTTAGGAAACACGCATACACACCGAGATACTCGAGGACTCATTTGGACAAGCCCCTTCCTTAGTTTCAATGTTTTTAATGTGTTTATATGATGAAATCCATCATTAATATTTGAGCCAGAATGCTGACTGTCTCGGATGCTAACAAAAGTCATACATTTGCTACATACTACTTTATCGAATAGCCTTTCCATGTGAAAAAGAAGTACACTTGACAGAAATGATAACACTTTACCAGCAGGTTTTATTTATTAACATTAGTTAACATGAACTAAGAATGAATAAGCATTCATAAATCTTAGATCATGTTAATTTCAACATTTACTACATTTTTTAAGATCAAACGTTGTATCTGTTAATATTAATAATAGTAATGCACAGTGAACATGAACATTCTTGCTAACTAACATCAACAAAGGTTAATAAATGTTGTAAAAAGATATTTCTTACCGTTAACGTTAATACATTAACAAATGAGGCCTTAAAGTAACACTATTCTTACTATATATATGATTATTGCAATTAAATAAAATGTAATATAGTTTAAATTTTTATTAAATGCAGCTTTAGAGCTTTTTTGGCTCACTTAAGTAGGAAATTAGTATATCTTTGTATATAATTATTTCTATAGTCTTGGTTATATTGGTTATATTGTCTTGGAAATATGGATAAAAAGTGTACTGCTGAATGTACTGACAGGCATTTATGGTAAAAAATATTTTTAATATACTGCAATGTAATTTCAATCAAAGTTGTAAATCATGCATTTAAATATATTTGTAATTACACACTGTAATGATGAAGTTGCAATTTAGTACACTTAAAATATATTAACTTTAAATGTAATATCAAATAACACTAGATT